TCCCTGCAGCCATTGGCTGCTATGATCAGCTTGTCCATTTGTTATTTTATGTCACTGAGTGCAATACTAAAACTCCTTTTATGTACTGCCTTTCATCAGACTTGAAAAACTGGCCTTAAATCACATTACAGATTAGAGCCTCAATCTGGTGTTGTTGGAGGGTTTAAGATTCCTAGAGCTTTCTTGGTCATTGCAGTGCTAAACCAGGTTTTGGCATAATTTCATTCTGCATTAGGATAGTTAGTGCACAGCCAGAACTCAAAGTGAAATTCAAAGTGCAGCCAACAGGGAAACTACTCAAAGAATCAAAGCTGTTGAACTGAAATCGCCCTTACTTTTGGTGCCTGACAACTGAGCCAACTTGTGTAATGTTGTTCCAGAGAACAGCTGGGTTGAAGCTTTGCCTCTAAGTGTCCCTGAGGCTGGGTTCAGGGCCTTCACTCTGCCAGTGAGGGGCTGCATGCTGTGCCCAGAGAGAGAGGAAGCAGGGCGGGCATGCAGCTCTGCTCCTTCATGTCTTGGATGGAATTTGCTTCTTCTAAATTAGTCTCCCATGCCGGCTGTGGTAGGTATGTGTGCTCTGTACTCATCCAACACTGCATGAGTGATCAAGAGAGCTGCATACCACTTGTATGAGGTGTAGTGATGCAATGGGAAAGCAAATCTCTAGCGTTTCCAAGGCAACTTGTGCATCTGCCCCTGGCTGGGAGGCAGGAGGCTGCCCATCACTGAAGACAGTGGCTTCAGCAAATGTTGCCAGAAGGAAGCACATGCTTGCCCCAAGCCCCTCCTGGTATTGGCATGAAGAGAACAGTGCTGCACATCAGTTTTCCTGGCTAGAACATTGTGCTTTTGTCTGTGCATGGTGGATTTTTTGCACGTATGCATGTCTAGTTCATAAGCTGCATGAAAACCACCTATATTCAGTCTATATTGTGTAGCACTAATTATGTAAGTTTTTCTCCTAAAATGTGACTTGTATCATGCCTTAGTAATAATTGTTCAGCTATTTGGATTCTGTTGAAGTGTTTGAGATGTAAATGGATTCTGTTGAAGTTGAGATGTAAAATGCACATCATCTTCACTGGGTCATAAGAAGATTAACGCTTCTGCTTGCAGAGCACAGCAAAGTCAATATTTGATCTAATTTGAAGCTAACCTCAGGTTTCTGATGAAAGTGGCTCTATTCTGAATGATGTAAGACCTTTGCTGCTGATGAGTTCGTAGCTTTGCTTTCATAATTGAAGTTGCACGGTCAGTAAACGAGTTCACTCTGAGTATCTTTACACAGCTCTGACATGCAAAAAACAGTCTTTTCTTTCATGTGGTTATAGCTCATGTAGAAATTGAGCTCATCAGGAATTGTCTGTCAAAATGTTTTTAATGAAAAATTGAGTTTCCGTAACCATTGATGCATTGATGTTTTTTGCTTTTAACTGTTGACGCTGATGGCCCAAAAAGCTTGTGTTTTGGCAGGGGGAGAAAACTGCATTAGTTCAACTTATTTGGAGAATTTCTGTTTGCAGGATTAATTTGCTGTGTTTTGGGTCTGTTTTCTTTTGCTGAATGTTAAACTGTTTTTTCTAATGGTGTACATACTGCCTGAGGGGGATAGCTGCAGCTCCTGCTTTCCGTGGCTGTTTTTGCTTCTAATGTTGGCTAGAGGTTCAAGCACTGCATGGTGCTCCCCAGGCCCTGGTCCTTCTCTTCAGCAGCTGGCTAGGAAGGGTCACTGTTCCTGGCCACCATTTCAGATGATCCTACTGATGGGGTGAGTCCTGCCCCTCGCTGTGAAGGCCTGACAAGCAGACACTTGTTTGTGGAGCCGTGGTGATACTGGCAGCAGGGCACATATAGTTGCAGCGGGCGTCTCTGTATATGTTCTCTCATTGCCACCCTCTCAAGCTGTTCGATTAGATGTTTATAAATACTAAAGCATGTCAGCAGTCTTAAGATGACATTATTAGCTCTGTTTCAGCCTCTAGTAACAACTGAAGAATGTAGTTGTTCTTTTCTGGCTTCACACACTTACGTGTGAGGAGACCCTGCAGCACTCTGCCTTTATGTGAAAATTGGCTCTGAAATTTAGGAAAAAGTGGAGATGAAAGCAGCATCAATTCCAGCCCCTGCTTTTAGCAGTCACTGGGAATTAGCAGTGTGGAAGCAGCCAACCAGCACTGCCAGTTGAGACACCCATGTACTGCTTTGCACAGGCCTGGCTCCAGGTGCTGGGTGTGTGAGATGCCCTCAGATGCTGAGTGGATCTTCTGTAGCTGTCTCACGGGCTGTGTGTCCTTCACTGGTATCTTTGAATTGTGCTTTGTCACCTCTGGTGTGCTATTATCTCCATGAGGCAGGAGGGGAGCCTTGGACAGAGACAGATGGATTTGTTTGCTGGAGGTCACAAAGCAATTCTCTAGCCGTGCTGCTCCGCTTGTTCCCAGCGCTGTCTCAGAGGTGGTTCTTCCTTCAGAGCTGCTGATGTTTTTTTCTTTTTCTTTTTCTTTCTTTTTTTTTTTTTTTTTTAATATTCTTTTCCCTGCATTTGGGCAGGGTGAAAATTACCTGGACAGGTGAAACAAGCAGATTTCAGAGAGCTTGTCAGAGGGACCTGATCCTAGATGCACATGTGGGGCTTTGTGGAGGGAACCAGCCAGAATGAGCAGCCCATATTTCATTTTAAACTTGTTCACAAGTAAAGATTAAGCTGACCATCATGTGCTCCTTTGAGGAGTCAGAGAATCTGCTGGAGACCACCAGGAACTGTGTTGGGAATGGAAAGACTGCTTGCAAGAGGAGGCTGTAACCTCTTAGGTAGTGGATTGCAAATGCTGGAGTGTTACAGGAAAGATAGATATGGCATCTGAGGAGGAGAAAAGTAACATCCAACACTCAGAGCAGAAACTGCTGGTAGTCAGGCATGAGGACAAAAGGAAGAGGCTGCTTTTGGAGCCTTTTACGAAGGAATCATCTCTAGGGCGACTGCAACTGAAATCCAAATTAACAGTCACATTTAAGGTATCAGAGCCAGCTTTATTACTTTGAATGGAGCTGGTTTGAAAAGAAAATACATTTTGCCTTTATTAAATATTTCTTTTGCTTGAAATTTAGCTTTTTTATCATGACATGATCATCACAACTTGCAACGACTTAAATCGTGTTAGGTGGTTTACTTGGTTTCCAGTGAGCAAAACAAGTTGTTTATTTTCCTTCAGTAAGGCTATTTTTTATTTTTTTTTTTAGCTCTTCAATTCTAAACTTTTTGTTAGAATAAAAAATAGGAAGCAACAATAGCTGCAATTTAAGAGAAAACTATGCTTGTGTTTTTTGAAGTCTGTAAGTGGTCCTTGTGACATCGGACTCATTTTAGAATATTTTATTTGTGGTATCTGAATTCTGGTTCCAGTTACAAGTGCATCTGGAGCAAGGCAGTAAACTTACAGGTTGTAGTTTGGGACAAAAAGGTCTGAGAGTCCTGCTTGGTGTGCTCTGGGAAAGGGTAATATTAATTTTTGTAGTGCTTGGATTGGGGCAAAATAAGCATTATTCTATCACAAATACGCTGTAAATTAGAGCATCATGGAGGGGTTGATGTTGGCAGGGACCTGTGGAGGTCAGCTGGTGCAGCCTCTGCTTGAGCAGGGCCAACCAGATAACTGACCCTTCAGCAATCCAGTAACTTTCTCAAGTTATTTTCATCTTTCTGACTTCATTCCTGCTGAGAATCCATTTTGGCTTGTGTTAAAAATATGTAAACAAGGTGTGAACAGTTCAGTTATGTGATAGTCAGTGATTAAAAACATGGTGATCAAATGCAGCACCTGATGTTGGCAGGAAGATTTTCTTACCATCTTGGGAAGACTTAAAGTTATACTTATTTTGAAATGTGAGTGTTGAGTCTGTAAAACACATTTACTTTCACATCTGAATGAAGGATGCTTGTCCGAGTTGGAAAGAGCTTGTCCTCCTGGATAAGGGCCCTTTGCTGAGGTTTTATTTCACATCATTTCTAAAGAGAAAATCTTCAGGAAAGCTGTCAGAAGTGTGATGCCTTGGAAGGGCTTTGCTCTCAGTGTGACCACTGCTAGCTTCTGACCTGAACAGCTGAAGGTCCTGTGACTATCACAGTGTACTCTACACTGAACCGCATGAGCTAACAGGAAAGCTGCTGCTTTTATTTTTCCTGTGTTTCTCATATCTCTACTTGAAATACAGGAATTATTAGAAATACCATATATCTGTGTTGTTCTTGCTTTCAGCTTTTTGTTCTCTGTGCTCTTGCCTTCAAGTAGGTGCAGGGGGTATCCTCAGTTAATATCCCTTCCAGTATTAGGAAAATGGAAGGTTGTATTAAGCTCCTTTCTCCAGTAATTACATAGATTGCTCTGAAAGTAGTTCCTTCCATTTATTTCCATGGAAATAACAACAGTTGCAAAGTGCACAGTAATACTATTTGATAGAGCACATTCTCAGCTATGGAATGCTGTTTTTCAACACAGTGACAAAATGTAATGGATGTTGGTGGGAAGGTTCAACTTCTACTGCCATACCACCACCATCTGCTCTATCCCGGGCCAACATAATAAAATAGCAGGCATCATTTCCAGAGCAGCCCTCTTAAATTCCTTAATTGACTTATGGAGATGGTTGTACACCTTCCTGTGTATGATGGATTGTGTATGTTCCTGTGAAGTGATTGTGTATATTCCTACATATATTATTTAACTAAATTCACAGCATTCTGTCTCTATCACCACTGATCAGCAAAAAAGAATGACTGCAATAGGATTATCAGTGCATTCATATTACCATCTTTCAAGCTGGTCTTTATCTCAGATTTTAAATTTGAGAGTTGTTGACCCTTTCGGTCTGTATTTGTATAATAACGTGTGACATATTTGATCCACGTCCTATCAGTAGGGCTTCAAAGCAGTCAAATTACACAGGCATAACATTCGCTGTTTTGCATAAGCCACTGAGTCTTTTCTTCCTTTTGACAGATTGAAGACATCATTACAAGAATGCAGGATGACAAAACTGGTGGAGTCCCCATCCGAACTGTCAAGAGCTTTCTGTCTAAAATCCCCAGTGTCGTTACCGGTAAGAACCCTGCTTAGAACAGAAGAGAGAGTGAGCTGGTGCTAGCTGGCTGTAGGCCAACAAAGATGCAAAAAGAAGGAATGCTAGAAAAAAATTGCCCAGCGCTGCTTAATGTTTGTACTTTGCTGTTATATGTGAAGTACTGAACCAAAATTGATTAACTATTTAAGTAAGAAAGTAGTTCTATTTCCTTATAGTGAGTTATATTTAAAAGCATGTTACATGCTTCAGTGCCTGTCACACAATCTTTCAATATGATGGGAGTAGGAAGGTTTTAAGGAAGAATTCAGGAAAGAATGTTGAAGTTGTGCTTATACCCAAATACTTTTGTCAGAATTCTATTATGTGTAGAAAAAAGAGATGTCTTGTGTGCCTTTACCTTCTTATTAAATACGTGCAAATGTGTGAGGTGTGAATAGTGCAGGAACTGACTGTCACTACAAAAATGTTCCTACCCATATTTCTAGACAGAACAGTTGCTGTTGCAACAATGAACTTTACTCTTATTTTATACATTTATTCAGGGTGATGTGATGTAAACTGCTTGGAGGGATTGTGCTTGTGATTCTGGTACGTGCTTTTGATAACACTATGGAAGTACTCATTATAGTGAGGCAGAAACGCCATTTCCCCTCTCCAACACTAGACTGTTGCCCAGTATCTGATCCCAACTACACCTTAACTTATAATCTCGTTATGTTGTAAAGTAAACGCAACTTTCTTAGTCCTGCGGAGTTGTTTTCTGACCCAAATCAGATACACACACTGATTGGTCAGTTTAGCAAAGTTTCAACTCTGTTTTCTGAAAATGTGGAGAACTTCAATCTCTGCGCCTGCAGTGACATCTTCACTCCAGTAAAGTTGAAATAATTACTAAAAATGCGAAAGTGTATTATTGCATATGTGCAGTGAACTGATAACTGGGGACAAAAACTGGCAGCTCACATGGACACTTCTTGGTCTTGGAGACTTTAGACTGTTGTAAAATAATAAGATAGTATTTCTAGTCAACAGGAATACTGGTAATGCAACTAGTGTCAAGTTGCTGCAAAGATGGTTCCCTGCAATGGAATATAACTGAGCTAAAGCACTTCAGAAATATCCTTACTGTGAAAAATGTTGGATTGAGCAGAATTTGAGGTTGTGATGATTCATTTAAGAGTGTGGTTTAATATCCTTGTATCAGGAAAATAATGTCTGACTTAAGCTACAGGAATGGGATATAAATCTGCAGAGCTCTGGCACATAGGCAGGGAATGTGGAAACTGAAGTTTTTATTTAAATAAGGTTTGGTCCAGTTAATCCCTTCTTACTGAGCAACAAGCTCTTCTGTCTGAAATTGATTCCAGAATATTGAATTCAAAGTTACTGGCAGTTAAAGTGACTCTGGATTATTGTGTGAAATAAACATAAGTCTATAATGAGATGTGAAAACTGTGATAAGGTGGTAGTCTACAATACACAAGCTGGATATCCTGAGATTTACTCAACTGAAATAGGTTTCTGGTATTCCTGATAGTATTCATAACATTGATTAAGCAGTTGATCTAGTCATCAAGTTGTCATCTTTAAACTGATTATCCTTAAGTAGCACTGAGGTTGGCAGCTCCCTGGCATGATGGAAGGTACCTACTTGCACTCTGTTCCTCTAAAACAGCAGCTGCATCACCCTGAAATGGCTGTTATCAATAGATGGGGAATAATAGAAGGGTGAAAATAAGAACAAAGTCTTTCTCTAAAGCTCACAACAAACTCTCAAATTTGAAGTGGAACAAGCTCAGTAACACTCCCTTCAGGTGATCTGAAAACAGGTGCATTATGATGCACTGTGGACTGCTTGAGGCCTCCAAGTTTGAAAAGTATGGTTGAATAATGGGATCAGCTAAGAGCCCAAAATCTTCTCTCCATTTCATATTTCTCTCCTTAGTTGTGTACACCTAATTGTATATGATTTTTTTGTGTTCTTAATAGATAGTCAAATAGCGTCAAGTTCTGGGGCAATTGATGTGTGAAAGGAGGCAAGAGCGCACATCTGAGCAGAAGTTGGTTTTTGTTCAGTCTGAAGGAGGCAGAGCTAAAAGGAATGTGAGCTTATTGAGAAGATAACATCAGAGACATGTAGTGGAAACAAAAAAGACAGCGTACACAAGTTGCATGAATAGAAATTCCAACTAAATATAGGGAGAAAGGTTTTTGTGGTTAGAGCAGCCAAGTAGTAGCCAGGAGAGAAACTGTGGAACCAGAGTGTTTTGGAACTATTCAGGAATCCCTGAGCACAGCTGAAATGAGCAGTCTGACCTAACTTGGCATTTCACTTGTGTTAAGTGGAGGCTGGACTAGGTGATCTCTTGTGAATCCTTGCGACCTGAATTATTCTTATGATCTTAAGTTACTCAAAGTTAGTGCTTTTCTAATTTCTTCGATTTCATGGACACAAGATAACTTCAAAAAGCTTTGGGTGTATCTTTACAGCTGTCCTCTTAGGAAGAACTTAATTTTCAGACTGGCATTTTTGCACACTATTCTTCTTCCTGAAAAGAAGAACATTAATGTTAAAATATGACTGACTCGGCAGGTTCACAGTTACTGTTATTAACAGTGCTTTATTTTTGCTTGACACTTCTATTGTAAAATCTTCTCACAGAAGAAATTTTTCTTTTTCTTTAAGATTTTACAGCACTGCCTTGTGCTCTAAACATGCAGCTCAGTTTATAGTACAGAAGAGTGGGTGTTTGATTTAAAGTTCGAATCCCAGGAAGGAACCACTCATCTCTGTTTCGCTTTCATGTCTGGATGCTTAAGTTATGAATGAAGAATTCTATAACATAAGGAGAAAACATTGGGGAGTTATCATTAATGGTTCTTGCTAGACAACAGGAGACTGGGAAAAGGAAGAAAAAACCTTTTTTGAATGTGTGATGAGTCTGCATGTGGATGCTGTGCCAAAGGCAAGTTTTAATCTGCATTAGAAATAGATTTGTTTATCCTCTTCCTTGGCTTTTGACTCAAAGTAGGTCAGTCAAAGGAGGACTGTTATCATAGCTTAATCTTCACTTTTATGGGCAAACTACAGAAGGAGAATGAAAGAAAGATGTAACCAGACAGTGTAGCATCTGTGCATGTATTCAACAGATTCTCTGGTAAGTTTAGAATATGATGCTGGCACAATGGACAAATGGAAGCAAAAACTGACTAAAGACAAGTATTGAGAAGAGCTGTCATACATCAGCCAATGTCCATCATGACAATTACTGCAATAAATAGATGTTTACATTTCTCTTTTAATGAGGAAACCATTTCCTCAATGATGATTTGTTTCTGCAAATGGATTAGCAATTCTCTGTTGTCCTAGACTGATATAAGAATATCTCATTATGATATCCAACTACAAAGCTGGCTTTCTACTCTTTTTGATATCCACACTTTCACATCTTAAAACTAGAAAACTAGTCTTCTCTTAGGTCAGTGCACGTAACACCTGTACTTTCTTCTCACACTGATTCAGACTTAGCCCCTTACAACGTTGATGATAAAAATTAGAAAAGCCAACGCTAACCTGCAACATCTGACCTTTCCAGTGTAAAAAGTCTCCTTCATACTTCCCGATCTTCCCTTCATTCCCAATCTCATTCCGTGTTTCCCCATCTGATCCTGTGTACCAGCGTCTTTGCTGTTAGAACCCTTCAGAGATGTGCTGTCTACCAGTTTTCTACCCCCCATTACAAGAAGCTTTTGATAATTCATCCTGTCCCATTACTTATCTACTTTAAGCAGTCCTGTCCTCACAGGAGAGAGAACTCCTTCCAGTAGCAGTCCCCTTGTTGTCACCCCACTTATGCAGTGTTCCTAACCCTTACCCCCAGTGCTTGCTCGTGTCCTTGCTGTGTTCTCATATCTACCTGTGTGGCTTGGAACACATTGATGGGTGATGTCTGTACTGGCTTGGGGTAATTGACTCGCGAGTTTCATGCACACAGTTCTGCCAATGCATTTCATTCTTGACCTGCCATGTCTTTTATACCAAGTTCCAGACCTCTCTGAGCAGTAAGTGCCATTATTATTGAATACAGCCAGATGGCCTGTTGTTTTTCAAAGCTCATGATATATACAAAGTTTAAACTGCCATGTGTCTCTGTCTGAAGAAGCCAGCATGCATCTTGGCAAATGCACATAGAGTTGTCCCAGAGCATTTCAGAATGTCAACTGCTCAAAGAAAATGTGTTTGGCTGGAGCAAGTAAATCTCATCATCTTGGAAAAGAGAGAGGGCTTATTACTGATAGTGTTCCCCAATGGTATAGTTCAGGGCAGCTATGGTATAGTAGATTTCATACGCATGTTGTGAGGTGAGCTCCTCAGGAGCCAATCTGGTGGTATTTGTAGCATTTTCCCTTCAGAGGTGCTCAAATGCATCTTGTAGCCAGAGGTGTGCAAAGGTAAAGAGCAGGTTCCTCCTCTTCAAGATTTGAAAGCTCCTGGTTCAGAGGAACTATACAAAGCAAGAAGTTGGTGGTGAGAGGAGCAGGACCAGCACTGGCAATGCCAACAAGCAGCAGCACCCATCACCTAGCAAGGCCCAGTGAGCTGGCTGCTAAGTTTTGCTGCAATTTTTATTTTCTTAATGCTTTTATTTTAGAGTTAGAGCCTGCCTTGGTTTTTCACAGAAACTGCTTTCACTGCAACCAAAAGGCTCCAAAGCTGACTGCAAATTGGTTTCTCCAGGGCTGTATGCTGAGAAACTTGCATCACCTGACTGTAGGATTTTAGCTGTAGGACTGGCCTTGATTGCAGGCTGGGCTGAGCATTTTGGTAATGGCATTCTAGATCTAAAATACACATCCCTGGATTTGGGATAGCCACAGCATCTGACAGCCACTCGAGTATCTGAAACATCAAAACAACTGTGCAATTCAGAGATTTGAGTCCAAGTCAGTCAGTTTTTTAATTTTGACTTTCTTCGTGCAATTTTGCAATCTGAGAAACAGAGGACTTAAAATGCAGT